TTTGTAAAGTGAGTGTGTATCAGTCAGCTTAGTCCAGGTTATGCTGAGGTAACAAACATCTCCAAAATTGTCTGTGGTCTGTGGCTTCCAAAGATAGTGAGAGGTGAAGCTGGCTGGGCTTCTGGGTCAGGTGGGGACTTGGAGAACTTTTGCGTCCAGCTAAAGGATTGTAAATGCACCAGTCAGTGCTCTGTGTCTAGTTAAGGATTTGTAAATGCACCAATCACCGCTTGGTGTCTAGCTAATCAGGTAGGGGACTTGGAGAACATTTCTGTCTAGCTAAAGGATTGTGAATGCACCAATCAGTGCTCTGTGTCTAGCTAAAGGTTTGTAAACGCACCAATCAGCGCTCTGTCAAAACGGACCAATCAGCACTCTGTAAAATGGACCAATCAGCAGGATGTGGGTGGGGCCAAATAAAGAAATAAAAGCAGGTTGCACGAGCCAGCAGCGGCAACCTGCTGGAGTCCCCTCCGAAGCTGTGGAAGCTTTATTCTTTCGCTCTTAGTAAATCTTGCTGCTGCTCCCTCTTTGGGTTCTCCCTACCATTATGAGCTTTAACACCACCGGGAAGGTCTGCAGCTTCACTCCTGGCGCCAGCGAGCCCAGGAACCCACCGGGAGGAACGAACAACTCCGGACGCACCGCGTTTTTGAACTGTAACGCTCACCGCGGGTCTGAGGCTTCATTCTTGGAAGTCAGCGAGACTGAGAACCCACCGGAAGGAACCAATTCCGGACACAATAGGGCGACCAAAACTTGTTTCGGTTTGCCCAGGACTTTCTTAGTTTTAGCACTAGAATCCTGCATTCCAGGAAATCTCTCAGTCTCAGGCACCCCAAAGCAATTTACTTGGGACTGTCATAGCTTCAGAACTGAAAGTCATGCATCTCAGGAACCCCCTCAGACTTTCAAAACCAGGAAGGTTAGTCACCCTATGAAAAGCAAAGGTTTATTTTTCATTCAAGTTACATGTTTATCACTCACACTTTCATCATTACATGTTGGCTGATGCTTTGCTTAAAATACTTTTTACCCATAAATCAGGTCAGTGGACGTTGCTAGTCTAGAACATTGCTAGTCCGAAGGCAGAGAAAAAATAGATAGATTCAGAGAAGCATACACTATTTCTTGCAGATTCTACCCAGAGGTGACACAAATCACCCCTGCTCTAATTTCACTGGCTGGAACAGGTCACATGACCAAGCTGCTAGGAATGGGGCAGGATGATATTTGCTGGGGGTGGGTGGGTGGAGGGGAACTTCAGGGAGGGAATCTGGGATATTTGGATGCTGCTTGGAGGAGGCATTCTAAAACATCTTGGGTCACAGTTAAATGCTTCTTTTCGGAGCTCCCTGCATTTTGCAATGCTCTGCCATGCTAATGGTTTGAAACGGTGGCTAATTTGACAAGCCAATTGGAGTCCCCGTGATTGCATTTGACTCTCTGACTAATGACAAGAGATGAACTCCCCTTTCTTAGTGCAACTTACAGTTGGATAGCCTTGGGCCATCGCCCGGTCCCAATGTTCAAAATGTTGCCTTGTAAATTGTCTAATAAAGTAATAAAGAAAGGGACTTGCTAAATGATTTGTCTTTTAACCATTGTAATGGGATTTTTGTTGGTAACATTGTTTTATGTTAGAATGCAAAAATTATCACACGTAATTAGAATCATTTCAATTCAAGTCTCTGCCAGCCCTCTGACATATCCTGCGACTTGTGCCACGTCGAGCAAGTCAGCTCGTAAAACCTAATCAAATACAATTTAAAAATGCAGTCAGATTTGGAGTGGTGCGGCAGAGACGAGTAGGGAAGGCTGCCCAAGCTGGCTTTTGCCTTGGAGAGCAAAGAAAGAGGGAAGAAGGGGAAAGAGATGGAAAGAAGGCAAGAAGAGAAAAGCCACCAATGCACCTATTCAGCTTCATTAGAGGACTGATGGGAGGTAGGTGGTTACTTTCCGCCGGGGTGGCCTCGGACCCGACTGGCCTTGGGTCAACCTTGATGCTCTTAATTATCCCCCCTTCAGCACCTCTCAGATCTGACATTTGTGCCCCTGGGTTTCATTTCCTTCAGGCCGACCAAGTTCCCGCCTGTGTATCTTCTTAATATTTAATTGTAATCATGCAGACATATGTATGTATCATTTATCTCCAAAAGCTGTAGTATAAATGTTTAACCAGAAAAGCACACGGCAGCTCACGTCATCTCACAGACAAGCTTTCGCAGGGTGCAAGGACAGGCAGGCTGCCTCCCACTGGGATAAGGATATTTGTTGAGAAATATGTCCCTGATTCCCAAAATGTCCAGGTCAGGCCTTGGAGGGTGGGCAAGGGGGTTACCAAGCTGTTGCTTTGTTCCATGGGCTTGAATGAGAAGCTGCTTTCTTAGACCAGAGCTCCAAGTTGGAGAACGAAGACGACCTCCTGGTCGGTGTTGGTGGGAGCTCAGGGCCTTTAATTGTCCCATGATGTTCCCATGCCCTGATGACAGCGCAGTTGTCCTCACTGTGGCCTGGAATTTAGTTCTCGGCAGGAGCGGGTGTCTGCCCAGGCTGGGATGTGTGGGCGGCATCGGAAGATCACGTTGGAACAAGTGACGTGTGGTGGAATGATGGCACCGTAAAGGGGAAGTGATGCCATCAGGGAATGGCAGTATGGCTCATGAATATTCTGGGCACTTGTACCCACAGCCAGAGCCAGGACCGGCTCCTGATTCATCAATATTACAAATCAGCACGGTGGTGAGCAGGCTGTCAGCAACTTTAATTTTTGCTTCAAGCCCAAGGAATTACAATGGAAGTATTTCCCAGGGACACCCAGCGAGAACGTGGGGGCCGTGCTTTCTGCAGTCAGAGGGGGTGGAACTGGGTCTTGGGAGATCTGAGTTCAAGACCCAGGTGCCCCATGCTCAAGTGCGGGGTATTCTTAGGCAAGGCCTGAGCCTCCCGGGGAGAGCAAGAGCATGTGAGCACCTAGGATGTGCCGGAAACCACGTTGCAGCAATTCTGCAGAGGAGGGATGTTGGCCCCATTGCAGAGGTGAGGAAGACCGAGGCTCAGAGCAGGGTGGGTTGCCTAGAGAAAGGGTGATGGTGCTGAGGCTGGAGCCCCGTTTGAGTTGCAGGCATTGGTTTCCTTACTTGCCAAGTGCATGGGATGATGACTGCCTCAGGGGGTTGTTAGGAGGATAAAATGAGGGACTGAGCTTAGGGGTGCTTTGGAGGTTATCTTGAGTCCTCGGGGGAAGAGCATTCAGAATCTTGCTCTTAGCATTGTTCACATCAGCTCAGCCTGTTGAGGGCTGCAGGGACTTTTTTCCATTATGTGTCCTTTCATGTTCTTAATGGCAGGGAGGGGTAAGCATGAGCATGATCATGAGGTCCATGTTAGAGGAGAGGAGAGTGAAGCCTGAGAAGCAGAATGCCTTGCCCTTCCAAGGTTCCACAGTGTGGAAGTGGCAAGATCACATTTGAAGGTCATGGTTGAATGTCTTTAGCAAAGTAAGGAGGGGAGGTGCTATGTACCCATTTTACAGATCAGAAATGGGAAGTCACAGGTGGAAAGTCGAAGGACTTGTCTCTGCAGAAATTAAGGTTTCTTTAAAAAGGGTGAGGGAAAGATGACCCCCTTATCTCAGTCTTTCCCTCTTTATCTCTTATTTAAACTAAAAATAAAGTGGGAATAATCCTCGCTTTTCCCCTCTTGTCCTTCCTCCCTGCCTTTGATGCTTTTACGAGCCAAGTATAGAATTAGCAACAAAGGCAGACTCATGCCCACTGAGGGTAAGGGAGATAGTCTGGTCGTAAGTGAAACAGTCATAAGCTCCTACCATCTGCCAGGCTGTGCAGGGAGCAGACGGGGGTGTTGACATTCGTATCAAGGAATTCATTGTCTTGAGATTTCAGGGTGTTGTTAAACAGAGCAACCTTGAAAATGGCTCTCTTACTTGACAGAAAGGAAAATTTCAACCCACAAGGGTTACACAATTTCCTCATGGCCTCCAAACCACTATCTCTCATACAAAAAAAAAAAAAAAAAGGTTGTGCAGTAATGAAGTGAACAGACTCAGAAATGGGATTGGCAGGACTAAATCTGGGCTATTACCACTTATTAGCTGTGTGACACTAGGCTAGTTGCTTTACTTCTCTGGGTATCAGTGCTTTCCAGTAGCAACTGGGGCAAATTGTTGTCAGCAACGGGAATTTCCAGTAGCAGCTGGGAGTAAGTTTTGTTAGCAGTGGGAAGGAGATTCTGGAATGCCTAATTCTGATCTACCATTTATCTCCCCATTCCTGCAGGGTTTGGGGCTGACAAAGTTTCGATGCAAGACAAATAACAATCAAATGAGAAAGAAAGTGTTCTTTATTCTTCAGCTCCAGGTTCAAGACTTCTGATTTCCCAGTGTAAATATAAATCTTTGAACCTGTGTGCTCAGGATTGCCTGTCGGGAGAGAAAGATGGCCAGATCCTGTGAGGGGTCCTAAATGCATGTACCCTACCAGGTATATCAAGCAAATAAAGACCACTGGGGATGGCCAGAGATTCCCCAGGGATAAAATTCTGCTTAGAGAGAATCAGGCAAGTGGGTGCCTATTTCGTGGCATAGTAACCCTGTGCATAACTGAAATGTGGCACAATATATATTTTACACTGACCAAATAAGGATCTCAGTTTATTTTTCTCTGGTTGAGAGCTGGAAAAAATGGTTACTAGAAAGGGCAGAAGAGTCGGGGAGAGGTGTGAAATTCCCTTCTAATGTCTTTCTTAAAGGGTTGTCTTGGCTGGGTGCAGTGGCTCACGCTTGTAATCCCAGCACTTTCGGAGGGCAAGGTGGATGGATCACCTGAGGTCAGGAGTTCATGACCAGTCAGGCCAACATGGTAAAACCCCATCTCTACTAAAAATACAATTAGCTGGGCATGGTGGCAGATGTCTATTATCCCAGCTACTCGGGAGGCTGAGGCAGGAGAATCACCTGAACCCGGGAGACGGAGGCTGCAGTGAGCTGAGATCATGCAACTGCACTCCAGTCTGGGCAACTCCGTCTCAAAAACAAACAAAAGAAGGGTCATCTCATAAATGAGACAGGTTGGGTAAATTGCCTCACATCATAGGGCCTTGCACATACAGAAAAAAAGTAAGAGTTGCTCTTATTGTTGCTTTTATCAGTGGGTACCCATTACTAGCCCAACCCACCCTTAACCTCTAGGTGAAATTAGAAACCATGTGTTCTGACTGTCTGTATTCATCAGGATGCATAAGGAAAACAGAAACCCCTCTAGGTATTTCAATCAGGAAGATATTTAATACAGGGAATGCAATGCTGCAGCATTTAAGATAGCAGGGTGTGCAGGGATTCTTGCAGAGCACTACTACTGAGGTCCTCAGCTGCCTACAGTACCAATGTGGGTTACTTAAGATAAAATGTCCAGAAGATGCTGGAAGACACCATATGTCTGCTTTCTGCGAAAGTCCCACTGCTAGTAGAATAATAATGCTTTCTTCTTCTCTCCTGTCTTCCCTATCTCACATGAGTACTTCACACTGGGGGAAGCTGAACTGGAACTCTACTGACAAGGCAGTTGGGTAAGTATAGTTTCCAGGCTTCTAGGCTCATGATACAGGGGAGTATGTGGCAGGAAGCAGCAATGGCACTGAGATGCCAACAGTCCAGCTCCCTGTGCACCCCACCTCCCTAGAGGTTTTCTAACTGTGCTTGGGGTCCCCAAGGAATGTAAGGAACTGCAAGGGGTCAACAATGAGGTGCACGGAATTTCACCTTCACTTCCTACTTTCAACGTGATCAGCTCAACCTTTTTATTTATTGGATTTTATTTGAAAAAAATTTCACACACACAAAGTTTGACTCTCATTGGATCACAGCACACTGGCTGAAGAGTGTTAAAGAAAAAATTATTCTGACAAATGTGAAAACAGGAAGACTTTATTTAGGACTATCTTGTTGGGTATCATGATGATTGCAATAGGGGAGAGAGATCAAGTTCAACTTCAAATGCAACAACTGAAGATTTATGATAATAAAGGGTGGCAGGTTAGGGAATGGGTAAGTGGATGGAAAATTACTAAGAGGGGAGATCAAATGTAGGAGGAATTCTTGCTGAAGGCAGGCCAAGGTGAACAGATATCCCTTGGGGGACAGTGGAAAGATGAGGGATTTGACCAGATCCGAAGGATGACCAGACATCGGGGTGGGGGATGGTTCTCCCTAAACCAACTTAGCAGGATTCTTACTACAACTGGGCCATGTAGGCTGAGCAAAGGCAGGTGCCAAGGTCAAGGCTTAGCCAAGAAGAGGGTTCAGAGGAGCCTGACTAAAGCTTGGTTAAGGAGAGAATCTTTGTCAAGGGACAAGTGTAGCTTCATAAAAGGATGACATGGATTCTCCAGTCGGTTTATATGAACCAAAGGGAGGCACAGACCATCTTGCCTTGTCTTCTCCATCGTTTAGGATCCCAAGCACAAATCTTGCTTCTCTTCCAGCCTGCAGCCCTCATGCAAATAGATGCCCAAGAGTAGAGCAGGCTCAACATGCCAAATTTCCACTCTTAGGCTCAGCTGGGATCTACAGTCCTGTGGGTTTTTTTTTTTTTAATGATTCTATAGTTTTTAGTATTCTTTGATTCTTTAGCACTATATCCTCAACTTCTATAGCTCTTTGATTTTGCATTTCTTTGATTCTGAGATATGATGATCCAGGGACATGGACTCTCTGGCTCAATTATTTCAAGAAATAATCTTTATTCTTTTTTTCGGATTAATGTTTGATTAATGTGTCTAAGCTCCTCTTGTGAGACAATGGTTCATACCAGGGCGGGACATCAGGGGCAAGGGGGATAATGGGGGTGCTGCTGACTAAAAAAGTCTCATATATTGGCTGTGTCCACGGTCAAAACCAAAAGCCGAGCAACCACACCTGGTATCAGGCATTAGGGGCCAGTATGTGACCAGGAGAGTGAGAGGGTGCCAGGTGATTAAAAATGGGTGCATGGAGGATGTAGTGGGACATGAGGGGCAATGAATGAAAATGAAGGAAACATCATATATTTGATACGGCAAAAAGGGATGCTGAAATTCCTCCCATTGGGTTTGGCAAATCCTATGGTTCTCCCTTTCTATCTCCTTTCCCTACCAAATCTTCCTGCTGTGTCACACTCTGCTCCCTACCAGGGATCTAAATAGCCACTTGGATATTTCATCTAGGTCAGTTACTTAGCAATCCTAAGGAACCTATTTGAATTTAAATGACTGCCTTCTAGACACAACACAACAATAACAACAACAATAATAATGACTTCTAAATTAGTCAGCATTAGCTGGGTCGCTGTAACAAACAACCCTAAATCTCATAAACAAAGTTTAGTTTTCACCCCTGTAAAGTCCACTGTGGGCCTAGGCAGCTATGATCCATGTGGTGACTCAGTGATCCAGGCTTTTTAAATTGTGTGCTTCTGCACTGCAATTTGAGGATGCCTCATTTGCTGTGTCAGGGGAAGACAGAGATTGGAAAATCTCATGGGGACTGTACACTTCCTTGGTCTGAAGTGATGCTCATCACTTCCATTCACAAAGCCAGTCATATGACCCCTTAGCTGGAAGAGGATAGGGAAAGGTAGTTTTCTGTGCATCCAGGAAGGATGAATATAAAACAGCATTTAGTGAACACATAATTTTCTCCCTGTTGCAATTACCACTTCTTTTGAAATAGGTACCACAAGACAATTATTCTGCAGCAATTTATTTAAATCATTTCAAAGATCCTTACAGATGAGGAAACTGAGGCCTGGATAAGTTGAATGACTTGCCTAAAGTCACACATATAATGGTAGATCTAGAATTAGAAGCCGTGGTTCTGTTTCTCCATAACCTGTGCCCCTCACTGTTCAGATGATGGATCCTCAGACTCCGGGGGAGCTGTGGGGTAACTCCCTCCATCCTTCAGCTACAGCCTGGAAACCATTGCCTTTTCTGCTCATCGCAGCCAGGGCTGGATCCATGCGAGGAAACACACCTGCTGCCTCGGGAATCCCACAATGGGGATGTGACACTCACAAAAGGCGATCAATGGTTCCTGACAATTTTTTCCTTTCATTTAGGCAAAAAATGTGGAAAGCATATTTGATCTTTGATTTTCTTCCATTTCCCATCTGTTCTTTATTAGGAGTTCAAACTTAATAACCTTCCAGAGTTGGTATCAAATTCAGACGCTGACACTCCTTGGAGAGGTTCTTTGCTGCAAGAGGATGGAAAGGATCACTCTGATTTTGTTTTTCTCCTGCTGCTCTGTCTGTAAGTCCATCTGTTTCTCTTGCCCTCTGTCTTGAATCCTTCCCACTCAAAAGGTCAACCTTACTTGTGGGTGAAGCAGGAGACGACCTGGTATATAATTTTGGGGGTGTTGAATTGATCTGGTGTCCCTTCAGGTTCTCTCCCATGTGTGCCCTACACATAAAACTGCACCATTCAAGGATCTTTTGTGTAGCTCATAAATCCTCTTAAGTTACCCAAGACGATACCTTTTCAGTGGTTAGGAAAAAATCTTAAGCAGATTTCAGAGGGGAAAATAAGGCAGAGAAGAAATAGCGCAGTTGGGGCAAGAGTGCTGACTTGGATCAGAGAACCTGGAATTGAGTTACATGTAAACCACCCACCTAGAATATGGGTTTAGCAAGTCACCCAACCTCTCTAATTGTTTCTTCATCTGTAAAATGGGGATGTTTTAGATACATCTTATAGAGTCACAGTGGAAATGAACAGAGATGATGAAGGCAACTTATATTCACCAACTGTTTTTGCAGCATGGCAGAAAAATATTCTGGAATGTTAAATAAGGTCTTGTTGTATGTGTGTGTTTTTTAAATTCCATGCATTAATTTATGTCCTGTGACCAGTGTCCTCCTTCAGGCAGCAGCCGCCAGACCATGCGGCATTTATTGCCTCAGGGAAAGAGTGACACAGCACAAAGCAGATAGGGACCAAGCCAGATTCTTGGCTTTCGAATTTGAAAAGCCAGCCAAGGTCTGGGCGGATAACAAAAGATATGGAAGGATGCAAAAGTGAAGCCTCCCTGTTTCCAAGAACAGAAAAGACTGAGTTGCAGAACAGACACCGATGCATCCTTTGAGAGAGCATAAAGGGCTTAAAGTGAGGAGTGAAGGAGGGTGTTTACAACGTACCCAAGGTCAGACATGAGCAAGAACATCTCAGCAGAAGCCAGTGGGTTAAATACACCATCAAGAACCAGATGAACCCCATTCCTGACACCCTATGGGAGGCCAGCCTCCCAGGTAAGCTGCAATGAGTCCCACCTCCCTGGGATTCATACCCTCATTCAATCTCCTTTATTATTTTATTTATTTATTTTCCAAAGATAGGATCTTGCTCTGCTGCCTAGGCTGGAGTGCAGTAGCATGATAACGGCTCACTGCAGCCTTGAACTCCTGTGCTCAAGTGATCTTCCTGCTTCAGCCTCCCCAGTAGCTGGGACTACAGGCGTGTGCCACCACATCTGGCTAATTTTTAATTTTTTTGTAGAGATAGAGTTCTTGTTATGTTGACCAGGCTGGTCTAGAACTCCTGGACTCAAGTAATTCTCCTGTGTTAGCTCCCCAAAGCAGTGGGATTACAAGTGCAAGCAAGCTACCATGCCCGGCCTCCTTCTTCGTTATATCAGTACCACCTGTGTGATCAGTGTTGTACAGAGGAGGTGATGTATGACTTCTAAGGTTATGTCATGAAGGACTTGCAGCTTTTATCTCATCCTCTTGGATCCCTTGTCCTCAGGGAAGCCATGTGAGGGGGACATCTGAGCAGCCCTGTGGAGAGGCCCTGAGCCAACAGCCAGCATGAACTTGCTGGGCATGTGAGTGCACCACCTTGGAATTGGAGCCTCCACCCCCGGTCAAGCCATCAGGTGAGATTGCAGCCCTGGCTTATATCTGACCACAACCTCATGAGCAACCCAGAACCAGGCCACCCAGGTAAGCTGCTTGTGAATTTCCCACCCACAAAAATCATGTGACATAATAAATGTTCATTGTCACTTTAAGATGCTAAAGTTTGGGGTAATTTGTTATGTAGCAACTGATAACAATGCAACTGATAAACATTCAAGTCGGCATACTGCAATCCCCCCAGAATTTGGACACAGCCCTGGAGAAAGTGGGTAGGCGTCCCTAAATGAACTATGATAATATTTTTGCCACCTGGAAGAACACAGGCTGTAATAGAAATTATACTCAGTTACAGAAGAGTAAAGTTATATTTCTAGATTGCCTGAGTTTCTAGACTACCTGAAATATTACGACTCATTTCAAGGAGCTTCCAAATATATTTTCAGAACTCTGGAAGTCTGGGGAATGCAGGACAAGAGCTACTAGATTTTGGGAACAAGAGTGTTCTTTTCCCCAAGTGGGCAAAAAGGGAGCCTGAAGATACATGCTTCTCCAGTTTCAGAATTTGGGGGACCACTCAGCTTGTGCCCATCTCTTCTCCAGGCTCCCTTTTGCTCCTCCTTGCACCCCTTTCTGTGAGCATGTGCAAACTCAGCTTGATGCCCAAGCCCTTCAATTTGTCTTGTTAGAAAACCCTTGTGTTAAAGAGACCATTAAAAAAAAGAGGGAAAGATAAATTGCCTGAAGCTGCAAGACTCAGGAGGCAAGGGAGAGCAGGTGATGGAAAACAGGTCTGTGATTAGAGGGCAGGGGGTGGCACAGGAGCCAGAGCAGGCAAAAACATCCACTGGAAATGTCAAAATATTTGAAAATCCTCTTTCTTTGGTGAATTGAGTTACCAAAATGTTTTTTTTTTTTTTTTTTTTTTTTTTTTTTTTTTTTTTGCCTGCAGAGAAGAGTCTGAGATAGAGGTTAAGAATATAGTTTCCAGAGTCGGGCAGAGCTGGGCTCTGTCCTTTCCCAGCTGCTGTCAGACCTCAGGCAAATCTCTGAACCTGTCTGACACTTGGTTTCCTCATCTAGCAAGAGGAGACAATGATAAGCCTGTAAAAAAATAGCCCTTAGTCTTCACCTTTCTTTGTGTATGTGTCTTTTGCGATGTGACTTTATAGCTCTTCCTGTGATGAGACAGAGTCCATTTCCCCACCCCTTGATGCTGGGATGGTCACATGACTTATTTTGGCCATAAAATGGGGGCAGAAGTGACAATACATCAGTCTTGAGCCTAGGTCTCAGGAGGCCTTGTGCACTCTGTTCTCTCTGACCCTGTGATCCCCCATAGGGAGAGCTCAGGCTGGCCTGTTGGAGGATGACAGGCCACATGCAACAGATGTGAAGTGTCCCAGCTGACCCCATTCCAGAACACACTTCCCTTCCAGATGACCACAGATGTATGAGAGAGCCAGCCAATATCTGCTGAGACATCCCCAGAAAGACAGAACATCCAGCTGACCCATGGACTCATGGACAATCATGGATAAATGGATATTGTTTCAAGCTGCTAGGTTTGGGGTTGGTTTGTTACACAGCAATAGCTAACAGCTACACCTCTATTTTAAGGAGTTGTGAAGATAAATTGTAAAGGTACAGAAAAATGAATAGCTATAACAGCAGTAGTGATTGAGTGCTGGCTCTGCCTGGTACTGTGCTTAGGATTGGCATGCATTATCTCAAAGACTTGCAGAGGCTAGAAGGGCTGCAGCTGAAGATTCTAGAAGAGTTCGGGTATAATGCCTGGCACATGGTACCTGTTTCCTGTATGCTAGTTGTTGGATGCTGCTGATGCTAGCAGCACGTGGAACTCCTGACACATGCCTCTGATTTGGTAGTGGGGTCTGAACTTTGTAATCTATGTGTCCTAGAGACCTTGGGAAGTCTTTAGCTAAGGGCAGACCAGGAGGTAGCTTTTGTAATCTGAGAGCAGAGAGGTTTTTTAGCGTGAATGGCATCCAGGTAGCGTGGGGAAAAGGCATTAGCCAGGGTGCTCCACACACTCCCCTCACTAGTGTGGTCCCTGGACCAGCAGCCTCAGCCTCCCCTGGGCCCTTATTAGAAATGCAGAGTCTCAGGTCCTACCCCCGCTTACTGAATCGGTAAGCGCGTTTTAACAAGATCCCTGGGGGATTTGTGTGCACGTTAGAGTTTGTCCAGAACACTCTGCTCAAGCGATCTGTGCTGAGGCACCGGTATTTTTTTTCAAATTCCAATTTATTGCAGAATGACCGTTTAAAAAAATACAGTAAAAAAGCAAATTCCTAGAAAAATTAAATGAAAAATAAAACATATGAAATCTAAGCCCTTGTTTTTTTTATTATTAGGTTCAATAATACAAAATTGCTGTCTGCCAAATTGCTGCAAAACTTTCTAAATACTTTTCTTTCTCTGTATGTATTCTTTGTGCGTACCTCACTGTGGACAGGTAACAAACGACTTGCCACCCGGCACGGGCTGTGGACTGCCCAACGAGTAGCACCATCTTAGAGTTGGCAATGACAATGATACTAACACAATATGACCACACATGATTGTGTGCTTGATATCAGCTCATAATAAGGGCTTACAAGCTTAAATACCTGGAAATCCTCTCAGCAAACTGTGGAGCAACAACTAGTGTATTTATCTTCATTTTGTAGATTAGGTCATTGAGGCCCAGAGAGGTTAAGCGACTTGCCCAGGGTCACACAGCATACAAATGGAGTACCCTGAGCCCACCTGTTTGACCACTACAAGGCAGAGGGAGGGAGAGGAAGGCACCACCAGTGAGAGGCACAAGGACAATGTCTCTTGTACCCTATGTGAGTGACAGCTGTCAAAACACCAGGCACGGGGCCCTGGCTGTCTCTGTAACTGCCTTGCAGTGGAGGCTGGAGCCTAGCAAACTCTCTACCAGCCCCAGGCTAGGGCTAGGAGGATCACCCTCGCACCTCACTCTTTGGTGCAGCCTGCAGGAAAGGAAGCCCTCTGTGAAGTGTACCACCCCAGCCTGCTGCGTTGCCGGAGGTGAGGGGCAAAGGCCGCATGCCCACTGCCTTCTCCCTCTTGCTATTTCTTTTTCCTGAAGTCATAGGAGCCAGGTAGGAGGCCGGGGGTCTGGCAGGCTGGGTGATAGCTAGTTATCGACACGTTGATGGCTGCCCCAGAAGACTGCCCGAGGACATCAAGGCGGAAGCCACTTCTGAGGCCCGCTGCTCCCGGAGAGTCGGCTGCCGGCATCTCTGCCCAGGGCTCGGCGCTTTCCCTCACCATCTCATTAATCCTGATTCACAGAAAAAGGCAGCAGGCAGGGGCCCTCTTAACAGGCCAAGCGGGCGACTGATTTGCCTTCACTGAAGACAATAGTGCCCAGGAGACCCGGCATTGCTGAATTATTCAAATCAGCCGTGGCAGGGAAATCTGAGGACACAGAGTGGCTGACATCCCCTGGCCCTTGCAAGCTGCCCTCCTTCCCTGCCCTGGGGTGGTGGTACCCGGCAGCTTGGGGTGGCTGGCACAGATCCCCTTGCCCGAGATGAGGGCTGCTCCCGACCTTCCCTCCTCCCTGGATGGAAGTTGAAATTGGTGTTGATCATCTGTAAGCACCTTGGAGCTCTGGTAATGGATCCAAAATGACATTTCCCACCTGCTGATCCCTTGGGGGACATTCTGACAAGGACTTCTGGATGAACAAGTGATGGGGCCCGGGAAGATGAAGGCAGCAGGAGATGGCTGTTCTGCCAAGGGGTGTGTGTGTGTGTGTGTGTGTGCATGATTCAAAAAAAGCAGAGGACATGGGTTGAACCCTTTCTTGGCAAACCTTGGTTTTCTGCTCCTGGAAAAGAAACATAATGAATAGGCAGGTCTCCCTGGCAAATATGGAGATTCAGGAGCAAAACTACCCCAACTCGGTGCTGATGCTGGGTGAAGACAGAGCAAACGGGTTGGAGAGATCGAGTGTAACAGACATGAGCTCAGCATGGCGGGCTCCTGGTGGGAGGGAAACTTGGAGAGTACAAGGGGTAAACTGAGGCCCAGAGAGGGGTAAGGACTTGCCCAAAGTTGTTAATCGGTTTGTGGCCAAAATGGAATGAAAAGCCACGGTGTTTAGCTTGCAGTTGGAGGCTCTCTTTGTTAATACCTATCCCTGCCAGAGCACAGACAGCTAAGGGCTTTTTAATATGTTTCATTGTTAACTGTATGATAATCTCATGAGGCTGATACAATTATTATTCCCATTCTACTGATGATGAAATTGAGGCTTGCAGAGATTCAGCCACTGGACAGGGCAGAAAGTGGCAATCTGGGATTGGAAAGGTGGTCTGTCTTATGCTGGACCCTTTATTGCTGTGCCTCAGTGGGAGGTCAGAGGCACTGGGACTCCAGATTGCTCCAAAACATCCCTCCTGGCCAAGGAGATAGTGTCAGCTCGACCTCAGTTTGTGATGGCTTCCTGGGGGTAAGCATTGCCACTTACTTGTTGTCCTCCATGGGAAAGAGTACCTAGAGTTTAACCCTTCTCAGAAAGACTGACTTTAAAGCACCCTCAGCCATCCCAGTCATCTGAAAGGAGACACCTGAGGAGGGGACCTTGAATGTTGGAAGGAAATTTATGAATGAAGAGGTTCGGAATCTCTGGGCACAAGATCCACCTCTTCAGGGGAAGCCGGTGGTGTCTTCTGTGTAAAGCTGCCATTGGCAGGACAACTTTTTCTGGGAGATGCAGAAGCTGGGGGTGGTGGTGGGGTTAAACCAACCTTGCACATTGGTGGGAGGGCGTATGGGGTCAGTGTGTGAATAACAGCCTCTGCTTTTCTGCATCAGCCAAACAACAATAGAGTGGGAGTGGCAACCTGTATTGAAGGTTCACCATGTGCTATGCCCTTTCTTTAAGTGTAGAAGCTCATTTAACCCTCAAGACAATTTTATGGGGTCAGTATCTATGAGGTCAGTATTGTTATGTCCTTTTTGCAAAGGAAGAAAATGAGACGCAGAAAAGAAGACATTTAATCCATTTACCCAGGATGCTGCTGCTGGGCTGAGTGTGAAGGAGCTGGGATTTGAAACCGGGGCTTCATAAACCACGTGGCCTCTAGGATATTGTGCCTAGGATTCCCTTCTCTGTTCAACTTGAAGTTCCTCTCAGCAGAGTGGTGTCCTTTTTCTCTGCCCGTAGTGGCCCATTCCCCGGGTTGTGATCCACGCACGGGCGTCCCCAGAAGGAGGCTTAGAAGCTCCGAAGCAGCTCAAATGAACCTTTGCCATTGTGCCTCTACATGCCCTGTTCCTTTTCTGAGAACAACCAACTTCCTCAGGCCTTCGAATCATCTCTCATTTGGAATAATCAGTGTCTGAATGAAGGAGGTCTCCAGCATTTGTGTGGTGCGGGGCGGGCCTCCCAGGATCCTCCCTGCAGAAAAATGAAACTAAGAGAGATTTATCTCCTGGGTCAGATAAAGGTGACTAAATGCAAACTGGCCGATTCCTTTCGGCAAACAGTTCCCTGGGGAGGGCTCCTACAAGGAGGAGGAGAGCCAATCGATCCCGGAAATGCTTCGAGGTGACTTTCAGGAGAGACTTAAAGGAAAAAGCCCTCGTGTCTTTACAGCCTCTGGTGACTCGTTCAGCCTTGTAAAACTCCCTGTACCAGCCCACAGAGCGAGGAAGGAGGGGGTTGGGGGCGCTTCTTGCTTACCGTTGCTGCAAAGGAAGAACTCGGTAAAATTTGACCTCGGAGATCTCTAGCTGAGTCCTTCATTCACCTGTCAAGCACCTATTGAGTACCTACTGTGTGCCTGCTGTGCACTTTTTATGCTCTATCCTGCTGAATCCTCCAGATGGCACCATTCTTACCCCCATTTTCTAGCAGAGAAACCGAGGGTATCTGAAGGGAGGCAAATATTTCTAGAGTCCTAAGGCAAGCAAGAAGGTAGGTCTTGAGATACGGATTTGCTTCCACCAGCCTCCCTGGTCTGGTTTCCTTCCTGCCTCACTCCCTGTCTCATCAGATCTGGTTCTCACCCAGCTTCATCTCCAAGTCTGGCTCAGGCTTGTTCTTCTCTATTTCTCTTCCTTTCTCCTTTGTGCTCTCAGACTTGTAAGAAACCTTCCTTATAATCTGGGGAAACAGCCGGTGCATCTTGGAGACTGAGTTTCCTGTGGGATCTCCAGGTTCACACCAGCCTTTTCTCCCATAGTCATCCCGCCCTCATTCATTAAGGTACCAGTAGCACCAGCTGGGAAGGGTAACTTGACTTGCGGTCTGCAAACTTACTCTGGCCCTGCAAAAGGCCAAATAGTAAATACTTTAAGTTTTGTGGTGCATTGTGCTATTGGGGTGCCAAGGCAATATGTAAATGAATGGGCATAGCTGTGTTCCAATAAAACTTTATTTACAAACGCAGGTGGTTGGTGAGATTTGGCCCATAGGCTGTCATTTGTTGATCCTTGGGATAGAGGATAAAAGATCTGGTTTTGGGGTTTGCAGACCTGAGGCTTCCCCGCAGGCCACTTTTTTTGTTTGTTTGTTTTTACTTCCTTGCTGTGTTACCTTGGGCAAGTTGGTGCATCTTTCTGAGCCCCATTTCTTTTCTGTGAAATGAGATAATTCTAGCACCTGCCGCCTGGGCTATTGCTAAGTTGAAATGAAACCATGCAGTGGATTGCGCATAGTCAGTGAGCAAACTGGTAGCTGTTATTTTATGACGGATGACTTTAAACCGTCTGAGGAAAGCACCTCTTCTTCCCTCATTTGGGGGTAAGGGAAGCTGGTGTGCTGGTGTTCTGATGTTTTGTGGTTCATTATGCTGATAAGATTTCCATTCTTTTCAAGTTAATGCACTTGCATTTTAATGACTTAGAAAGGTTGCAGAATCTGCCTCCTTTGGGATGGAACTGGCTGGCTGGCCTTTTGTGAGGGTGATAGTTGGTAAAACTCTGGACACCCCCATGCTCCCTTTGAGTCTAGCCTCTGGTTCCCTTTCCTGGCTCCAGAAGGACTGACTCAGTGGGTCTAGCATGCCCACCAGGGATCCTCTGGTTGAGAGCTGATCACAAGTGGCCAATTAATCTATTACTTGCAGATACATTTTCCATTAGCAGTGGTGGAATCAATTAGTCAGCGTAATGAACTCGAGTCTGGGCAAACAGGAAGGAGAGGTTAACTCCTTGGTTTCCAAAGGAGGCTGGGATGGCGGGGGAGCGTGGAGAAGATCTGGGGAGAAATTGAGGGGCTGGGTAGGGACAGAGGTTTGAGAACCACAGTCAAGCTTCCAGGTAGTAAGATGAGGTGGGTTGGACCCAAAGAGCTCTAGCTTAGAGCC